CTCATGCATCCCCTCACCATCGTTCACTACAATCACCTTGCACCACAAGGATACAAGGTGAGGATGCAAGACCCCCGAACGTCCCTAAGTGCACACGGGGGGCTTCGCGAAATCGGCCAGTATGGGCTGGACAAGCATGGATATAAGGGCACCTTGGGAAACACACCTCATCGTTGCTATGGGCGGCGACTGTATCCCTGGCCATCTTCACAGCCCTCAGTCGCCCAGAGGAGAGGCGACCCCCCTCAGTCGCCACAACTCCCGCGCCCTCCTCCCTCGTTGTCCAGCTCGAGATGATCCCCCGACACCCCGGGAGGGGACAGCCTGTGGTCCAAGACCCCCTTGGATCTGGCTCATGATTCCTTCCTCCTGCGTAGTTTATCGCTTCGGCACTGCCGTGCCTCCGCATCCTCGCTCTTCCGTACCTCCATTCCTCACACCTCAATTCTTCTGCACTTCGGTGCTTCCTGTTCTCGCACTTCCATCAAGCTGCGCCTGCAGCCTCGGCTTCGGCCCTGGGTGTTGTCGTGACGCCGTCCCGCGCCCAGTGCCGGGTCTCCTCAGCTCAGGCTTGCCGCGCCGACTTGCTTATCCTGAAACTCTTTCCGAGGTGAGTGCCCTCCTCCTTCGCCTGTTCTCCGCGGCCGCCCCCCCCCCCCCCCCGCCTTCTCTCCTCTTGCTATCGGTCAACTGATGTGCCGTGCGCCCCCGGGCCACTGACGCGCGCGGGCGCATCGCCCTTGCGGCGCTGCGACGAGAGCAAGTTCCCGCACCTCCGCCCTTCCACGCCTCGCGCGCGCGATCCCGCGCGGCCCCCGCACGCCGCTGCCCCGCCTGCGCGCAGCTGCTGCGCCCGCCCCTGCCCTCCGGGGGGGCCCACGCGCGACGGGCGGCGCAACGCCTCCTGCCCCGCCGCCTCCCTACGCCTGTGCGCCGCGGAAGCAGCCGCTTCTCGAAGCCGGGGGCGCTGCTCGCCCGCGCGGGGGGCGAAGGCACACAGTGGCCTTGGGCCCCTCCGAGGCCGCAGGCCGGGCCGAAACCGGCGCGTCTTCCCGAAGCGCCGACCGCACTACTCCAGCTTGAAGGGAAGCTTACGTCGGGCCTTCTCCCCGTACAGGGGGATGTTAGGCGGAGAATAAAACATACTCCAAAATATGCCCAAATACTCAACGATTGTCAAACATTGTCCTCTGACCTTTTTGTTCCCTACCTAGGCTCTACCTAGAAGGGTTCTTACTCTCTGGGCTTAAAGGGGCCGGGCAGTGGAAAGCGCCCCGGGCGGTTCCCCCAGTATCCGCCCCGCGGTTCCCCCAGTTACGTCCCCTGAGCTGAGCGTTGATTATCTCATCTTAGCTTAGCATATTTCATCTCAGCTTAGCTTAGCTTCATCTTAGCTCAGGTTTATCTTAGCTTAGCTTACCTTCATCTTAGCTTCGCTGAGCTTTAGCATAGCAGAGCACAACATAGCATAGCGTAGCATCGCGCAGCATAGCATATCATAGCATAGCCCAGCATAGCATAGCGCAGCATAGCATAGCATAGCATAGCATAGCATAGCATAGCGCAGCACAACACAATTCTGCCTAGAAGGGTTCTTACTCGCTTTGCTTAAAGGGGCCGGGCAGTGCACCCCGCCCCTGGGCGGTTCCCCCGGTCCCCTGGGAGCGGTTCCCCCAATCCCCTGGGAGCTTTAGCTTTAGCTTGGCTTTAGCTTACCTTTAGCTTAGCTTGAGCTTAGCTTTAGCTTAGCTTTGCCTTAGCTTTAGCTTAGCTTGAGCTTAGCTTTAGCTTAGCTTCAGCTTAGCTTTAGCTTAGCTTTAGCTTAGCGTTAGCTTAGCTTTATCTTAGCTTTAGCTTAGCTTTAGCTCACCTTCAGCTTAGCTTTACTGTTACTACTAATGCTGCTTTCCTAGGGGCTTCAACTCCTAAGTAGGGTCGCACTGGGATAATTCTTATATATGCATATACACACATATACATACATATATATATATATAACAACATGTAAAATAACATAAAACACATATTTTTGCATATTTCTCCTGTAGAGGGACAGGCCCGACTTAAAGGCAAGCGGCTGCAAACATCGGCCAACGCCTATGTGTCCGACTCAGGCATCTTCGCATCGCAACAACATATAAACATCTCTTGGGGGCGCGATTCATACTTCCGCCAGGTTCCGCTGGCCTTCTGCCGGCGGAACCGCCCTCCTCAATATTTCCGCCCGCTTCCGCTGGCCCTGCGCCGCCCCTGCCGAGGAAGAGATGCCAGCCTCTCGGTCCCTGGACGGCAAGGCCCCTTCTTGACCCCCCCTCGTGTCTCCACGGCTCTGCGGCAAGGTGCCTGGAACGTTCGGCAACTCGGGAGAGGGCGCTCAGAACTGTTGCTGGATCGGAGTCTGACTGCGGAAGGCTCGGGGCATGCAACGGCGGCCTCCCGAACCATCTCGTGGGGCCTCAACGTTGGACCCGCGAGGGGGGGGGGGCTCGGAGGGAGCGGCCGTCGCCAAGACGCGGTTTCTTGTGTGCGCTTGTTTCCTTAACAATGCCTGCATCTAGGGGCTCTTATTTCTTTGTCTCATGGGAATGACCTGAGCTCGTTTGTCGGGTCCGCCGCCTTGCTGCCGCCTCGTCCCCGCCTCGTCGCCGCCCGTCGTCTGGGCTCATTTGTGAAGTCCGTCGCCTCGTCCCCGCCTCGTCGCCGTCCGTCGTCTGGGCTCGTTTGTCGGGTCCGCCGCCTTGATGCCGCCGTCGCCGCCACGTCGCTGCTTCGTCGCCGGCCGTCGCGCACCTCGTCTGGGCTCGTTTGTCGGGTCCGCCGCCTTGTCACCGCCGTCGCCGCCTCGTCGCTGCTTCGTCGCCGCACCGCGTGTGGGCTCGTTTGTCGGGTCCGCCGCCTTGTTGCCGCCGTCGCCGCCCCGTCGCCGCCAGTCGTCTGGGCTCGTCTGTCGTATGCGCCGCCTTATTGCTGTCGTCGCCGCCCCGTCGCCGCCGAGTCGCCGCAACAAGGACTGCACCACATATGTTGCACCACATAGTTTGCACCACGTAGATCGCACAACACATATTGCACAACATAAATTTACGCCACATATATTGCACCACGTAGGTTACACCACATGGATTGCGCACACATGTGTTGCACACCATCGATTGCTCCACATAGTCTGCTCCACACATGTTGCACAACACTAGTTGTATAACATATATTGCACACCATAGATAGCCCCACATCGGTTGCACCACATGGATCGCTCCACATCGATTGCACAGCACATATTGTTCCACACAAATTGCACCACATAGATTGCTCGACATGGACTGCTCAACATAGCTTGCACAACATGGATTGCTAGCAACCCACTGTTTGGGGTCCACGCTGGCTAACATGTCCGTATTCCCCAAGTAGGCGTTGTTTCCCAATCCTGTTTCCTTGCAAAAGGGGTTCCTCAAGGTTCCCCGGTCTTGTTTCCTTACATGGGGCCTGGGTTTCCCAGTCTTGCTCCTTGCCTTCTCTCTTCGGGCTCCCTGGTCTTGCTCATCGGGTTCCTCTGTCTTGTTCCTTGTTTGGGTTTCTTCGGGCTCCGTGGTCCTGTTCGTCGGGCTCCCTCGTCTTGTTCCTCGCTTGGGTTTCTTCGGGTTCCCTGGTCTTGTTCATCTGGCTCCCTGATCTTGCTCCTTACTTGGGTTTCTTCGGGTCCCCTGGTCTTGTTTATCGGGTTCCCCGGTCTTGCTCCTCGCTTGGGTTCGTCGGGCTCCCCAGTCTTGTTCCTCGGTTTCCCTGGCACAGCGAGGCAATTCCAAGCAGCGCCAAGCAACGCCAAGCAGTGAAATCCATGCAACGCAATGCCAAGCAATGCCGGGCAACGCCAAGCAAGGCCAAGCAAGGCCAAGCAACGCCAGGCAATGCCAAGCAGTCCAAACGGCGCCCAAGAATTCGCCCCTGCGGCAGGAAGCTCTACCCGGATTGGGGTCGCGCCAGGTTCGTTTGTCCCCCCCCCTCCCCCTGCCCGCGGGGGCTGCAGGAGGCACTCGAGTTCCTCCGCGAGGCGGCCTGCACGGGCCCGAGCGGGACGAGCGGACCCCCGCGGAGCCCACGCGTGCCGGAGCGGCGGCGGGGAGGAGAGCGGGGCGCGGGCCGGGCCGCGGAGGGGCCGCGGGGAGGAGCCGCTCACCGCCCCCCCTCCGCGCGAGCGGCGGACAACGCAGTGGGCCTAGCGCGAGCTGGCACAGCGACCCTGCGCGGTGGCTCACGCAGGCCGCCAGCGCGTCGGGCCACCAGCGGAAACGAAGGGCGCCCCCGCGCGACCTCGCGCGGGCCCGCCTGCGCGGCCGGTGTCGGCGACGACGGCCCTTCGCTTGCTGCCGTCGCTCGCGCGGGCGCGCCCAGAGACCCGGAACCCCTCCAAGGCGGCCCATCTCTCAGAGACGAGAGACGACCTTGTCACGTCCGCCCGCTTCCGCCCCTCCTCCTCCTCCTCCTCCTCCTCCTCCTCCTCCTCCTCCTCCTCCCCCTCCTCCTCCTCCTCCCCCTCCTCCTCCTCCTCCTCCTCCTCCTCCTCCTCCTCCTCCTCCTCCTCCTCCTCCCCCTCCTCCTCCTCCTCCTCCTCCTCCTCCTCCTCCTCCTGTGAGTGCGGCGCGGAGCCGCCCCCCTCTTGCCTCCGCCGGCCTCCCGCCGAGGAGAAGACCGGGTCGACGCCTGCCCTCCCTCGAGGGCGAGGCCCTTGCCGGAGCGCCCCGCGTGGCCTCTTTGGCCAATCCGCATCATGGCACAGTCGTAGAGCCACCCTTTAGAGGAATGGCTGATCTGTGGTCTGGCCTGGGAGGAATCACACAATCTGGAAGCCTTCCGAACCGCCTGCGAATGCGCGGGCTGCTCTGAACACACTGTGCTAGAAAACGCCGCCGTGCCCTAGAACTTAAAAAAAGTTGTCCTGGGGCAAGGAGGCCACCGTTTCACCCACCGCTGTTGCATAGGATGCTCCAAGCAGGGGGGGCGTCTTGATTTTTCCGTGCGAGCGAGCGCTGCCGAAAATGTCTGTCTGTCTGAGATAGACTAGCAGGGGAACAGGAGGAGGAGGAGAGGGATGAAGAGAGAAGCAGCCCTGCTTCGAGAACGCCCCCTCTCCGCCTTCCTTCACTGCGCGCTATCCGCTGGCCTCCAGGGCAACGATGGACTGCTCAAACTCCTTGTCGGAAGGAAAATTGCCAAAATAAAAATCGCGCTCGCGCCTGATCTGGGCAACCGGAGTGAGCGTGGTCGTGAGCTTCGTCTGCATCGTCTGCTCGCCGATGCCGAAGCGGCTCAGCACGTTGCCTACCGCCTGGGCCAGGCCGTAGAGAACGCGCTGCGGAGGGCTCACGTCTTCGCCCGGCCCCAGGGACAGCTCGAGCAGTGCCTGGCCCTCGGGCACCCTCTGCAGAGAGTAGCGCCTCAGGGCCCCCGAGACGTCGCCTGGGCCGTCGATCAGCAAGTCCGCCAGCACCGCGGCGTCCTGCAGCGCCGAGTTGCAGCCCTGGCCGCTGGCCCCCCCGGTGGAGTGGGCCGCGTCCCCAAGCAGGACAGCCTTGGCGTGGTGGTAGGTGTTGCACTTGAGAGTGGCGGACTTCGAGGGCTGCTGCTGGACGAACTGCCTGCCGGCCTCGTCGTCCAGCACGTCATCCAGCAGCGGGAAAGCGCTACGCAGCGCCTCGCGCGCCTCCGCGGGGCCGTCGAGCTTGTTCCAGTCCACGCCCTTGCCCTTTTCGGCCGCGTCTGGCTCTGTCGGAGAGTCGCGCCAGTTGATGAGGGCGCAGGCGCCAAACGCTGTGGGCTCTATGAAAGCGGACGAGCCGCCCTTGCCAGGGATGGCGTGCACGGCCGTAGGTTCCAAGGCAGTCGGCATCTTTGGGAACCGCAAGACCTTGAGGAAACCTGGCAGCGGCTTCTTCTGCACGGTGAATCCAAAGCAAGCCTGTTCCACGCTGGCCCGCACCACTGAATTGACGCCGTCGCAACCCGCGACGATGTCAACCGGCCCGAACATGTTGCTGCCACCATCTGGCTCTGAGAGTGTCACCGTTCCGGCAGCCACGTCCACCGACTTCACATTCGCCCCGAAGCAAGTCCGCAGCCGCCCGGAGGAGGCGTAGCGCCTCTCCAGCTGATCCAGCATCGCCCCGCAGAGGTCGCTCTGGTAGATGAGCAGGCTCGGCTCCAGCCCGTCGCCATCCTCTGGTGTCCTCAGGTCCACGGGGCCGAAGGGCAGGTGCAGCTGGAACCTCTCGCTGCCGTAGCCCTTGGGCTTGATGCTGTCCCACAGGTCGTCCCCAGCGGTGCGGATCGCCGTGCGCCCGCGGATGCCCAGGCCGAGGGCGTACGCGCGGCCCTCCAACGCCGCCTCGCTGCCCCGCGGGTCGGAGCGCCCCTCGAACACGTCGACCGTGGCACCGGCCGCCAGCAGGCGGTGCGCCAGCAGGAGCCCCGACGGCCCCGCGCCCACCACGGCCACCCGCAGAGCCTCCAGGCGAGAGCCGGTGCGGTCCGCTGCCGATGCCGCCCGCCCGGGCCTGGCGCAGCGGGCCGGGGGTGGGGCCCCGCCAACGAGCGCGACAGGCCCGCGCAGCGCGACCAGCGGTGCCAGCAGCGACAGCGCGGCCGCCAGGGACCTTCTCCCACGCCTGCTGGGGTCAGCGATGGCGGTGGCGCCCACAGCCATGGGGGCAGTAGAGCTGACCTGGCGGCGTCCTGCCTTGAGCCCAACGGGGCTACACATGGGGACGACGGCGGCGGTGGCGGCGATGGTGCTGCTGCCGGCGATGCTGACCCAGCGCTCCTGCGGTCGGAGCAAGTGCCCGCGCATTCCCGCTGCAGGCACCTGTCGCTGCGCGGCACCTCGGCCTTGGCCGCCGTGCGCCGGCGGGCTTCCAGGCTTTGTGCCAATGCGGCGCTGAGGGCACGGTCGCAGACCCTGGCATTTAAAGGGAAATTAGGACACACAAATAAATACACACAAATAAAAATAGTCCCCATATTTTCCCATATTTTCTGGGTTTCTGTCTTCCCCCCCACTTCCCATATTTTCCCATATTTTCCTGGGGATCGTCGATTAATTGTGTCTGTGTGTTTTTTTCCCTCCTGAGCATTGAGAGATCACTCTGAAAGCGTTCAAACACCAGAGGCCACAGGCCCAAGGCGTCTTCCATCGAGCAAGGGGGACCCCCGAGACTATATGGGAAGCTACAGCTTCGGGAAGCCCAACCAGCTGCACTCTCTTCACCTCCGACATGCAAATCAATCCAATGTCCGATCAGAGCCGATGGCTTGTGCGGGTCACAGTTGCGAAGCACACGACCCAGAGCTAACGTTGGTTCGATTCGCTGGCGAACGCGTTGGAGTCGCACAACTCAGTCGTACTCCCGCCGCCCCACTTGGATCCAGTGGGCCCGCGCGCCTGGCAAGCGACGTGGGTGCCCGCCCGCAGAAGGCGATGCGGCCCTGACGCAAGAGGATGGCCCCCTGGCTGCACGACCGCCCGCGGGCGTCCTCCATGAGCGTGGCGTGCCTCTCGCGGACCCCGCCTTGCCGTGGGGCCTCGACGAGTCCGTGCGATCGGCGGCGAGGGTGTCCTTCGGCCAAGTACACGCCAGCAGCGCCGATCCAGCACCCGAGTCTGCCGGGCGCCTCTCGCCGCCTGCTCGGCGCGGGAGCCAATGGCCCTGGCACCTGGCAGCCCGCCTGCTTGAACCCGCCGGCCCTCTCGCCTCCCGCCCGCGCGCTCGCCGTCGTCCGGTTGCTTCTCGTTCTCTCTTTCGCCCTCGCCGTCGCCGCGCAACACAGACTGCCGGGAGCCGGCGTTTCTCACTGCGCGGGGCTCGGGGGGCCTGTTGAGGCCAGCCAGCGCTGCCAGGGCCACCTGGGGACGCTGTTGGGGGCCTGGAGTCGCCTCGTGGGCAGCGCGGCTTGGGCCGTCTTGGCGCCTGGCGGAGCTCCTGGCTGAGCCTCGCAGCGCACAGGCAACGGCCCTCGACCAGTTCGCCGACTTCGACCCGGTCGCCGACCCATGTGAAGCATTGCGGCTGGACGGGGCTCCCGCGTGCGAAGGGCGCCCGTGAGCCAGGCTTGTGTCGCCGAAGGTGGCCACGAATGATGGTGATCGTTATGCAAATTGTGATGGTGGTGATCATGGGTATGATGACGACGATGACGATGATGCTTATAAGGATGCTGATTCGGATGCGACTGCTGATTAGTATGATTGCGACCATGGTGGTGATGATGATGACGATGCTGATGACGATAACGGTGATGGTGATGGTGATGATGATGATGATGCTGCTGATGCTACTGCTGTTGATAGTGCGAATCATGGTGATACCGATAATGCTGATGACGATGATGATGGTGATGGCGAAGATGATGATGCTGACGACGATGATGATGATGATGACGATGATGACGACGATGATGATGATGATGACGTTGATGATGCTGATGGTACTGTCGGCGATTACTATGACGCCGACAATGATGGTGTTGATGATGCTGCTGCTGATGCTGTTTCTGATGATGAAGATGACCATGTTGATGACGCTTGCAACGTCGATAATGATGACGACGATGACGATGACGATGAGGATGACGATGAGGACGACGATGATGATACTGCTGATGATGATGATGATGATGATGATGACGGCGGCAATAATGATGATGCGGATGATGATGATGATCATGATAATGATGGTGCTGATGATAATGCCGACGATGATGACAATGCTGATAATGATGATGATGATGATGATGATGATGATCATGATGCTGATAACGATGATGATGATGATGATGATGATGATGATGATGATGATGATGAGGAGGAGGAGGAGGAGGAGGATGCTGCGGATGGTGGGATGACGATTATGCTGATGATAAGGCTGTTTATGCTGATGATGATGAGGATGATGCTGCTGCAGATGATGACGACGACGGCGATGCTGATGACGATGACGATCTCGACGCCACCTGCGACGACGATGATGATGGTGATGGTGATGGGGATGAGGATGATAAGGATGATGAGGATGATGACGATGATGATGATGATGATGATGCTGATGATGGTGCTGCTGCTGATTATGATGATGCTGCTGATGATAATGAACATCATGAGGATGCAGGAGTGCGACAAGACGCCCTGGTCAGAGGGACGTGGCCAAGGATCCCTCCCAGGGCCTGCTGGCGGGCCCGTAGGACGCGCGAACGGCGCAGCCCTCGCGATGATGCTGCTGTTGATGTTGATGTTGATGATAGTGCTGATGATGATGATGATGCTGATGATGGTGATGCTGATTTGATGATGATGATGGAAATGATGATGATGCTACTCTTGATGTTTATGTTGATGATAGTGCTGATGATGATGATGCTGATGATGATGCTGCTGATGATGATGGCGATGATGGCGACGACGACGATGACGATGACGATGACGACGATGATGACGATGATGATGATGATGATGATGGTGGTGATGATGATGATGATGATGATGATGATGATGATGGTGATGGTGTGATGTTGATGATGGTACTGATGCTTGTGATGATGCTTATAATGATGATTTTCGTAATGATGCGAGCGTGCAACGAGACGCCATGGCCAGAGAGACCGGGCCAAGGACCCCCGCCCTGCAAGCGGCGCGCGAATGGTGCAGTTCCTGGGCGAAAGCCCCTTATGATGATGGTGATGATGATGATGATGATGATGATGATGATGATGATGGTGATTGTGATGATGATGATGATGATGATGATGATGATGATGATGATGATGGTGATGGTGTGATGTTGATGATGGTACTGATGCTTGTGATGATGCTTATAATGATGATTTTCGTAATGATGCGAGCGTGCAACGAGACGCCATGGCCAGAGAGACCGGGCCAAGGACCCCCGCCCTGCAAGCGGCGCGCGAATGGTGCAGTTCCTGGGCGAAAGCCCCTTATGATGATGGTGATGATGATGGTGATGATGATGATGATGATGATGATGATGATGATGATGATGGTGATTGTGATGATGATGATGATGATGATGATGATGATGATGATGATGATGATGATGCCTCTTCTTGCGAGGCGCTAGGAATTGTCGAGGGCTCTCGGCTTACAGAACACGCTCTGAGAACTTCGAAACGCCAGGGATCCCCAAGCCCAGCCCAAGCCTCCCATCGGCGAGCAAGACGGATCACCGAAGTTATGGGACAAAAGACTCAAAACCGATCCAGCTGCAGGCTTCGGGGCTCACCTGCATTTTATACCACGTTCTGGTCCACATCGATGGCTACTACGAATCGGACCTCGCAAGACCCGCTCAAACTGCTGTCGTCGATTTGAACCGGACCCTGAACCGCACTGTTTTGACGGCGCGAAAGAAGTTTGCTGCGACCGCAACATCTAAAATCATAACATGTTTTCGCTATCAGCCGGCCCCACAAAGTATGACGGACAAAGGAAGCCACATGTACTGCGCATGGCGTTCAGTAATATCATAATGCGAAGCGAGGGATGGGTGCAACAAAATATCGCAACAAACACAACTCAAAGTCGGAATCAGAGCCAGCATAAAAAATGGTCAGCAGGAATACCAGCCAGCGCAGTTTTCAAACATATCAAAATACTAGAGTGAAGTAGACTGTAGTTGACTGCAGTAGACTGGACCTTACTGGGGTGGACTCTACTCCAATCTAATCTACTCTTCTCTGTTATCTTCGACCGACTCGACTCTAGTCTAATATACCATCTACTCTACTCTGCTCTACTCTGCGCTGCTCTAGTCTACCCTGCACAACCCTGCTCTACTCTACTCTTCTCTACTGAACTTAACTATACTCTTCTGCTGCTCCACTCTACTTTACTCGACTCTTATTCTACTCGGCTCTGCTCTTCTCTACTCTACTCCTGCTACTCCAATGTGCTCTCTTCTGCGCTGCTCTACTCTACGCTACTCCACTCTACTCTGCTCGACCTACCCTATTCTACATGACTCTACTCTAGCATCTACAGTGCTCTGCTCTAATCTGCTTTGCTCTACCCTACTCTACTCTACCCTACCCTGCCCTACACTACCCCACGCTACTCTCCTCTCACCTCCTCTACCCTTCTTTTGCTCTCCTCTCGTCTCCTCTCCTCTTCTTTCCTCTTCTCTATGTTGCTCTATTATGCTCTACTCTACTCTGCTTTATTCTGCTGTATTATATCCATCTACACATCTCTGCTCAAATCTTCTCTGCTCTACTCTACTCTATTCTACTCTACTTGTGAGCTTACGACTGTTGGACGACGGCTGGGACGCCATCAGAATAGCCACAATCAGTCATTGGAGTAACAGAGGAAGCCATGCGGACACAGCAGAGGAAGCCATGCGGACACAAGAGGAAACCATGTGGATACAGAGGCAGCCATTCGGATAGCTTTGACGACTTGGGAAGACCACAATAACCCATTGGAATAACAGAGGAATCCATCCGGATGCAGAGGAAGCCATCTGGATAGCAGAGGAGGTTATGCGGATACAGAGCAAGACATGCGGATACTTTGATGATGCAAGGGCAACACAGAGGGGGAAGACCAATGGAACCGTCCTCTATGCATGCCGGACATGAGGAGGACAAGGGAAACAAAGAGCAGACAAGGAGGAGTGAGATATGAGCATGTGCCGAAGGCGAGCGGAAATAGTGTGCTTGAAAAGCGAGCGGGGGCCCATCCACCAAGAGACCCTGACACATCTGTAATCTGTCTGCGACAATTGCGAGGGGCGAAACCCATCTCAAAATTGGAAGTTTGCGTATCTAGCTGTTCAGTGGCGATCTGGGGAAAAACAGATATTGTTAGAGACTCGCCAAGCACCCTCGACAACAGCCAACAAGCGTTGGAAAGGACAAGGCCCGCACAAGCTTGATTAGGACAGCCCCCCGAAAGAAAGAGCGGAACAACCACACGCATCACCAACAACCCTGCAGTCGGACCGAGTAGCACACGCGCCCAAAGCAGGAATCGTTCGGGACAGTGCTGGTCAGTAAGCGCACAGGACAGCTCCACGCACGCGAACTTGTTGGTCGGCCTGGCTCTTCCTCCTCTGAGAGACGGCATGCGAGCGAGCCGAGCGACCGAATCTCTCACAGCTCCGCAGAGCGGCCTGCACAGGCCCGAGGGGGAGCGCACGGATCCGCGAGGAGGCGCGCAGAGAGCACGAAGCCCAAACGCCCGAGCGACGCTCGGGGACAAGCTCCGAGCTGGCTCGGGTGGGGCCCCCGCCCAGACACGGCACGGGGAAAGGCCTGGGCCGCTCTGGAAGCGGGCCTGGGCCCTGCTTTGCCCCGACGAGCCTGGGCTGGACCGACTCGCGACTTCGGAACGGATCGGAGACGGATCGCCCCGAGCCGGAGCGACATCGGGCCGCCGCGCCCGCCTGGCTCCAGCTGGCCCCCAGCCGATGCTGGCGAACCGAACCGCGCCAGATCGAATCGGCACTCCCAGACCCCCGACGTCGTGACTTCTGCATGACGTGCGCCTCAGGAGCTTGGACCCCTCCCGGGAGACCGGCTGTTCGGGCCCGCGGAGGCCGAAAGGAGTTCGCGAACAACCTCCCGCCGCGATTTTTGCTTCACAGCGCGAGGGGGTCTGGGCTGCGGAGGCGGCCGCGCCGTGCCCCAGCCCTGGGGGGCGGCCAAGAGAGGGGAGCGTCCAAGAGGGGGGGTGTGCAAGCCATGGCTGGCGGTCTGTGCGCGGCCCAGGGAGGCACAAACCAGGGACGTGATGAAATGAGAAGGGGCGCCAGGAAGCCTGGGAAACATCGTGGCCCACGCCGCGAGATCCACCCCCGCCTGGTCCTCCCCCCCCCCCTTTGCCGCCCCCGAAGCCCCCCGCGGCCTAGCTCGAGGCTCAGCGCGCCGCGGCCAGCCTCGGCGCTGGTCATGAGGCCGGTCAGCTCGACGAGCGCGTCGACGGCCTGCCGCGGGGGGCGGCCGCAGGCCCGCGCAGCGCGCGGGGGCGGCGAGCGCGGCATCTGGTGCTCGGCGTGCCGCGGCGGCGGCCCGGGCGACCTCCTCCTCCTCCCCCTCCTCCTCCTCCTCCTCCTCCTCCTCCTCCTCCTCCTCCTCCTCCTCCTCCTCCTCCTCCCCGTCCCCCTCCTCCTCCTCCTCCTCCTCCCTCCTCCTTTCCTCCTCTCTCCTCCTCCTCCTCCTCCTCCTCCTCCTTTTCCTCGCCTAATGCTGTGCCCCAGGATCTCTGATACGTGCCCCCCGCGGCCCGCGCGTGCCCGCCGCGCCCCCCCCCCCATCCGATCGCGCCCCCGGCGGGGCTCCGGCGGAGCCAGGGCCCCTCGGAGCCTGGGGCGGCGAAGGAGAACAAGAACAGGCGGGCGGCGCCGGGCGGCGGCGGTGGTCAGGAGGAGGGGGATGAGGAGGAGGAGGAGGAGGTAGGAGGAGGAGGAGGAGGAGGAGGAGGAGGCGGAGGAGGAGGAGGAGGAGGAGGAGGAGGAGGCGGAGGAGGAGGAGGGACGAGGAGGAGGAGGAGGAGGAGGAGGAGGAGGAGGAGGAGGAGGAGGAGGAGGAGGAGGAGGGGGAAGGGGGAGGAGGAGGAGGAGGAGGAGGAGGAGGAGGAGGAGGAGGAGGAGGAGGAGGAGGAGGAGGCGCCCCAGAGCTTCTGTGGGCCCTGGGGGCCATCGGGGGATATGAAATCTCCGTGGGGCATCTGTCGGGGCCGTCCAGGGCAAGGGAGGTCGCGAATCATGGCCTGGGCACGTGCGCGGCCCGGGGGGGTGGGGGGGCCGGGGACGCTCTGACATAGTCAGGAGAAGGGGCCCACGAAGTCGGGGCAGATATCCTGGCCCTGGCCAGGAGGTCCCCCCCCCTGTCATCAACCCCCCTCTTGGCCGCCCCCCGAACCTGCTGGCATCAGGTTGGGCGTGTCCCCCTACAGGCGGATTTTCGGCGAAAAAAAAAATACCCAAAGATACCCAATACATATAAAAAAAACATCATCCCCAGACTATTTCCCTACCTAGGCTCTGCCTAGAAGGGTTCTTACTCTCTAGCTTAAAGGGGCCGGGCAGTGGAAAGCGCCCCGGGCGGTTCCCCCCGTCCCCTGGGAGCGGTTCCCCCCAGTCCCCTGGGAGCTTTAGCTTTAGCTTTAGCTTAGCTTTAGCTTAGCTTTAGCTTAGCTTTAGCTTAGCTTTAGCTTAGCGTTAGCTTAGCTTTACCTTAGCTTGACCTTAGTTGTATCTTAGCTTTAGCTTAGCGTTAGCTTAGCTTTAGCTTAGCTTTACTTTAGCTTTAGCTTAGCTTTAGCTTAGTTTTAACTTAGCTTCAGCTTAGCTTTAACTTAGCTTTAGCTTAGCTTTAGCTTCGCTTTAGCTTAGCTTTAGCTTCGCTTCAGCTTAACTTTAGCTTAGCTTTAGCTTAGCTTTAGCTTAGTTTTAGTTTAGCTTGAGCTTAGTTTTAGCCTAGCTTTAGCTTAGCTTTAGCTTAGCTCTAGTTCAGCTTTACTGTTACTACTAATGCTGCTTTCCTAGGGGCTCCAACTCCCAGGTAGGGTCGCACTGGGATAATTTTTGACTATTTTCGAATACTCCTCCTGTAGAGGGACACGCCCAACTTTATGCTGGCACTCCGCCTCCTTGGCTGATGTGCCTCTGGTGTATCGGGCTACTCGAGCTCTGGGTCGGTGGCACGGCGCGCAGGCGTCCCCCGGCAGGTGGCCGCCCCGCTGGCCTTCGCCGCGCTGCTGGACGCTGCGCCAGCACCGGCACGAGGCTCGCAGGCCGTCGGCTCGTCGGTCGACGCCCCCAGACCTCCGACGTCATACGGCCGAAGGTATGGTCAAACAAGCCATGACTTAAGACGCCTGGGCTAGTTTTAGGTCGGGCCTGTCCCCCTACGGGGGGATCTTGGGCGACAACTTAACTCAAACTACATGCCAGAAAAAGAAAAACAAACACAATTATGTCAAACATCGTCCCCAGGCTTCTTTTTGTTATTTACTACTTTCGAATGTCCCTCCTGTAGAGGGACATGCCCGACTTAAGGCTAGATTTTTTCATAAGCCCCTTCACAGAAACCAGCTTTTCTGCTCTCGCAGGAGGGGCGAACGTGCTCGAGACATTGGGCCAGGTCCCCAGAACATGGATTATGAAACGTGGACCGAGCCTTTCGGGAGGAGGTTTCGCCATCATATGCTCGACCGTATTTTTCACGAGGCGGGCCCAGAATTCTCTCGGCTCCTCCTCAAGACTGCTCTGTCCTCGCGGGTCGTCTGTGTGCGGGTCAAGCGGCCAGCAGAAGGCCCCCCCCCCCCCCCTGGAGCCGGCACTGTGGAAGGTCCTGCGTTCTGCGTCGGCAGCGGCGTGGAGAGGGGGCGCGGGCGTGCGGGAAAGTGGGGCACGCCCCCACGAAGGGGGATACACGCACACATACCTTTGTGTGTCTATATGTATATACGTGTATGTATGTCTGCCTGTCTGTCTGTCTGTCTGTATGCATGTGCACATATACATATATATGTATATAAGTATATGTGCGTATCTGTATATCTGTATCCCCAGTCTACGACGCCGACACGCACACACGGCCCGACGACACAGACACACACATGTGTATGTATGTATATATATATACACATAAGATAAACAGAGACAGTTAGAGGGAAAGAGAGAGAGAGAGAGAGAGAGAGAGTGAGAGAGAGAGAGAGAGAGAGCGAGGGAGCGAAAGAGGGAGAGAGAGAGAGAGAGAGCGAGAGGTAACCACGATACGATCACGTGATGCGTATTCGTGCAGCGGCGGCGGGGTGATATGCACGGGCGGCCAACCCTGGGAACAGGGTGACTGGTAGACATTCTGCATACCACGTCGTCAGGGTGTGTACACAGTCATAAAGCCAAGCTTGGCTACCTGGAATCATAGGTCCATGAAAGACATCATTCAATGACACCTCCATGACTTTGGCCAAAGGCTGGTAGCGATCCCCTTGGATAATCAACCAATTGACTCGGATTCCCAACGCACGCAACATAAACCATGGCTCATGTCGTCGCTGATCCAGGTCTGCCATTTCAACACGTGGGGACATGTGTTCTGGTTGCCGCCTCCTATCGCCCTTTCATGCTAGTGTACGCAGGAGCGCGGGACGCCGCTTGGTATGATCAGTATTCGATTGGACGATACCACCAGAAGACATGTATATGCACATCCGATGCCTGCACATCAACGGACTTGCGGATAGCAAGCGGAAGCGTCAATGACCGAACGAACGCGCCACGGCAGACATAAAGCGGGCGGACAAGGTTAGATGCGACCTGCGATCGACAGGAAGCCGTGCCAGAGAGACACAGGCCTTCAGACAACACATGCCGCAACGTCTGTGCCCAAACAATCTGGCCCCCTGCATCCCATCGCTCGAAAAACTATCTGGCTTACGGGCGCGCGCTATAACATGGACCACGGATCCGTGGATCTGGCGCGTAGACGCCAGATCGACAGATCAGGGGGCAGGTGCCCCAGAAGCATGGGGCACCACGCGGCCAACGCCGCCCGATCCAACAGATTCGGCGGCACCCCTGCGCGGCGCCTCCTGCGGCCTGTTGGTGACCAGTATCTCCTTGTCGCTGCTGACCACCACCAGGTCCACGGCCTCCGTCCCCGGATCGCGGGGGCGCTGGGGGGCGAGGGAGCGGAGGGAAGGGGAGGGGGGGGGGGAGAAGAGAAGGGCGGGTAGACATCGGAGGAGGTGGGTGAGGGGACGGTGGAGGCAGTGAAGGAGGGAGGGAGGCGAGATGGGAGGGGGAGAGGAGGGGGAGGGGATGGGGGAGGGGGAGGGAGGGGGAGGGGAGGAGGGGAGGAAGAGGAGGAGGGAGGAGGAGGAGGAGGAGGCGGAGGAGGAGGAGGAGGAGGAGGAGGAGGGGAGGAGGAGGAGGAGGAGGAGGAGGAGGGGAGGAGGAGGAGGAGGAGGAGGGGAAGACGAACTCCTCCCCTCCTGCTCCTCCTTCACCTCCTCCGCTTTGTCCACGTCGTCGTCGTCCTCCTCCTCTTCTCTCTCTCCTCTTCTCCTCCGCCTCCTCCCTCCTCCTCCTCCTCCTCTCCTCCTCTCCTCCTCCTCCTCCTCTCATTATCATCCTGAGGTTGGTGGAGCCCCCCCCCCCCCCCCCCTCCGCTCCGGGCGCGACCGCGGCCCCTTCTTTGGAGACTCGAGCGAGGGGCCAGGCAAGGTGGCAACATGGGGCCTGCCCCCCCCCCCCCCCACCCCCCCTCCACCCCACATCCCGCTGTTCCTCCTCATGCACGTCAGGAGGAAGATCCGAGGAGGAGAAGGAGGAGGAGGAGGATCCGATGAGGAGGACGGGGGAGGAGGGAGAGGAGGAGGGAGATGGAGGAACAGGATGATGCTGATGCTGCTGCTGCTGCTGCTGATGCTGATGCTGATGCTGCTGCTTATGATGATGATGATGATGATGATGATGATGATGATGATGATGATGATGATGATGATGATGATGATGATGACGACGACGATGATGATGATGATGGTGCTGCTGCTGATGATGATGCTGATGATGTTGTTGATGATGATGGGAATGATGCTGCTGCTGATGATGATGTTGATGGCGCTGACATTGCTGCTGATGATGCTGATGATGACGAGGAGGAGGAGGAGGAGGAGGAGGAGGAGGAGGAGGAGAAGGAAGGATGATGATGATGATGAGGAGAGACAATTCGGATGAGGAGGAGGACGAGGAGGAGGAGGAGGATGAGGACGAGGAGGAAGAGGGAGAGGGAGGGAGGAGATAGAGAGATGGCGGAAAAGGTGGCGGGCATCTTCCTCCCTCTTCCGTGCCCCGAGTCCGCAGAATAAGCACCGCCCTCTCCGCGCCACCGCGCCGGACTGCCCGCGCACGCCGAGCTCAACCCCCCTACGCGACCCAATCCCTCCAACGCCTCGCGAGAGACGGCCCCTGTCCTAACACCCTACTGCCCCCACTGTTTCGGCCACCACAAATACTCCTTATTGCTTCGTCTATCGTTTTCCCTCCCTCCTGCCTCCCTTCCCCCCCTTCCATGGATCTCCCTCGTCCGATCTTCCTCCTCTCTCCCCTCTAGCCTCCTCTCCCCCCCGGACCTCCCTCCTCCGTCCTACCTCCTTCCTCTCTCTCTCTCTCTACTTCTGTCCCTATTGCTTCCTTATTTCTCCGTCCTCCTTCCTTGCTTCTTCCTCCTCGTTCTCGTTGCCGTCTTCTCCACCTCCTCCTCCTCCTCCTCCTCTTTCTCCTTCTTCTCCTCTTCGCTTCCCCGCCCCTGCTCCCCCCTCCTCCTCCTCCTCATCATCATCATCATCATCTTCTTCTTCTTCTTCTTCTTTCTCCCCCCCCCCCCGTGCTGCTCGTCCTCGTCCCCGTCCTCCCCCTCCCTTCTCCTCCCCCCCTCCTCCTCCCACCTCCTCCTCCTCCTCCTCCTCCTCCTCCTCCTCCTCCTCCTCCTCCTCCTCCAAGAGGCTCCCCCGAGGCACCCAATATGCTCCAAGAGGCCCCCTAGGCCGCTATGAAATCCCGACGACACCCCAAGAGGATCCTAAGAAGATCTCCTCGGACGCCCCTCGCGAAGCTTCTTGGGGCGGGGCTGGCCATCGGAAGTGGCTGAGGACGGACCAAACGGAGGATGCAAGGGTACCCTTGGGAAGGCTACCCGTCCTGCTCGTCGATTTCGGCTGCAGCTGTGCCCCCCAACGCCCCTGGGGGGGAGACGGAAGCATAACAACTGAACGGTAACCAGATGAGGCGAGGCCAGGAAGCGGGAGGCGGCACGGGCGCGGCGGCGTAGTTGGCAGGCGGCGGGTGGGGGTGGCTCAGGCGGAGCACGAGGGGCAGGGTGCGTAGCGCCGTAGGGCACGTCCTGGGGGAAGAAAAAAGCCTGCCGCTGCAGTGCGATGTGTGAGGCGCTGGAGGGTGGTGGGTCGCAGGGTGCAAGCGTGGCCGGGGCCAGGCTCGCTGAAAAGGTAGGATGGCGCAGGGGCCCCTCCCCCTCGCCCCAAGGTACCCCGAAGGGACGGCGCCGCTGCAGTGCGATGTGTGAGGCGCTGGAGGGTGGTGGGTCGCAGGGTGCAAGCGTGGCCGGGGCCAGGCTCGCTGAAAAGGTAGGATGGCGCAGGGGGCCCCTCTCCCTCGCCCGTAAGGTACCCCGAAGGGACGGCGCCGTTGCAGTGAGAGGTGAGGCGCTGGAGGGTGGTGGGCCGCAGGGTGCAAGCGTGGCCGGGGCCACGCTCGCCAATGAGGTAGGATGGCGCAGGGGTCCCCTCCCCCTCGCCCACAAGGTACCCCGAAGGGGCGGTGCCGCTGCAGTGCGAGGTGAGGCGCTGGAGGGTGGTGGGCCGCAGGGTGCAAGCGTGGCCGGGGCCACGCTCGCCAATGAGGTAGGATGGCGCAGGGTCCCCTCCCCCTCGCCCACAAGGTACCCCGAAGGGGCGGTGCCGCTGCAGTGCGAGGTGAGGCGCTGGAGGGTGGTGGGCCGCAGGGTGCAAGCGTGGCCGGGGCCACGCTCGCCAGAAAGGTAGGATGGCGCAGGGGTCCCGTCCCCCTCGCCCACGGGGTGCCAGGAAGGGACGGCCCCCAGTCACGACCAGGTGGCCCTCGCCCGCCGAGGCGGGCGACGCGTTCCTATGGGCGACGCTGGGCCCGCGCCCCCCCCCAGGGGTATCCACCTGGTAAGGGGGAGGTTTGCGGAGGAGGAGGAGGAGGAGGAGGAGGAGGAGGAGGAGGAGGAGGAGGAGGAGGAGGAGGAGGAGGAGGAAGGAGGAGGAGAGGAGGAGGGAGGAGGAGGAGGAGGAGAGGAGGAGGAGTAGGAGATTGGAGTAATGGAGGAGGAGGAGGAGAAGACGGGAGGAGGAGGAAGGGAGGGCATGGAGAGGACGGAGGGAGGAGAGGAGGAGGAGGAGGAGGAGGAGGCGGGAGAATGAGGGGCTCCCCCCAGGGGGACCTACGGGGTAAGGGGGAGGTTTTTTGCGCCAGCGTGTGGCGCGGGTCGAAAATGGCTCCGCATGGATCCCCCACCCCCGCCCGACCCCGCCGCTCAACGTGCGCGTCCATGTGCCCGCCCACGGATCGATGCAGGGTGCGTGCAGTGCTAGGCGACGGGCAGATGGCTGCCGGCCTCCGGCCGCAGCGGAGCGCCGCGCACAGGAGAGGAGGTGGCCGAGCAGCAGCCCCGGCGGTGTGAGATGGGTGGCTCCCTGGCGGAAAAGTTGGTCGAGGCAATAGAGGTGCACGGCGCGCAGGCTGAGGGCTGCGGCTGGCCCTGGCCAAGGGCGGCCAGAGGTTGGCTCCCGCTTCTCCTCCCCCCACCCCCCAAGCACCTCGAGCCTTAAACCCACCCCTTAGCGTCGACAGGTGGCAAGCGAAGAGACGTTCAGGCTGCGGCGCAGGTGACGGGACGGGTTGCAGGTGGCGAGGTAGAAGCTCGAGGAAGGTTCCCAAGCCAGGACCTCGGCGGCATGAGGCTGGGTGTTGGCTGGTAGAGCAGTTAGGCTGCTGATGGCGAGCTCTGAGACTGATGGCGGTGGCACTCGCGTGCAGGGAGCTGGCCCCGGCCGCCCCGGCCCTAGCCAAGGGCAGCCAATGGCATTGGTTTCTGGTCCTCCCCCCGCGAATAATGCAGCCCCACCATCCCCTCCACCACCAGAGGTGGGAGGTGAAGGTCAGAGGGGCAGGCAGTGGGCGGTGGCCATGCGGGGAAATGAACGGCCAGGAGCGAGGGAGAGGTTGGGATGGAATGGCTCACGTGGGCCAGCCGAACTCTCCTCCCCCTCCTCCTCCTCCTCCTCCTCCTCCTCCTCCTCCTCCTCCTCCACTTCCTCCTCTGACGTTGCATACAATATACAACATCGTGAAACATCACGACCCGAGCCGTAAACCCCATCTTTCTGCGCCGTTTTTTCGAGCTGGATCGATCTGTGAGGGACCCGGGGCCCGAAGCAGAGCGAAAACGCCTGTTGCGAAAAAATGCAACGCCATGATCTGAGGGTCCTCCTCTTCCTCGCACGTCGCGGGCGGAGAGGAGGATGAACAAGACATGATCACAGATGGAGGGTCCTCCTCTTCCTCCTCCCTCCGCCCCCTCCTATCTTCCCCCCCTCCTCCTCTCTCTCCTCTCCTCCCCTTTCTCCCCTCCTCTCTTTCCTCCTCCTCTCCCTTATCCTCCGTACTCCTCCTACTCCTCCCTCCTTCCTCCCCTCTCCTCCCTCCATCCCTCCCTCCTCTCCTTTTGTCCTTCCATACCTCTCCTCTCCTCCTCCTCCTCCTCCTCCTCCTCCTCCTCCTCCTCCTCCTCCTCCTCCTCCTCCTCCTCCTCCTCCTCCTGCCGCTCCTCCTCCTCGCCGCCCGCCCGCCTCTCCGCGCTGGAACGAGCTGGGGGCCCGGTCCAGGTACAGGCCGGGCCCGAACGCCGGCTCGATGAGGCCCACCTCGGGGAGGGCCGCTCGATCCCCGACCCCTCGACCCCTTGATCCTCGAGCCAGGAGGAGGAGAATGAGGAGGAGGAGGAGGAGGAGGAGGAGGAGGAGGAGGAGGAGGAGGAGGAGGAGGAGGAGGAGGAGGAGGATCCTGACTCGAGCCTCGATGCCACGACCTTCCCTGGGATCCTCGACTGCTCGATCCCCTCGGACGGGCACCGCCTCGGACGCCTCGGACTTCCTGACGAACTACACACGGTCGACCCTCGACCCTGCCCCTCGCCCGTCAGAGGTGCCTGAGCCAGGCCATGTGACCCGCGCGCGCCGCTCCTCTGCTTTTTTTGTCGAGGGCGGTCGGCAGAGGGCCGGGCATTCGGCCAGCACGCGCCGTAGGGCGCCCGGGGCTGGCACGGCCTCGGGGCGCGCACGGACGTCAGACAGCCCCCCCCCCCCCCCAGCCGTTCTGGAGGGCGTCTCTCGGGCGATCGCGGCCTTCTCGGAGCGCCCCGAAGCGAAGCGCCCTGGAACGAGGTCTCCCTGTCCTGGCCCCCCGCCCGACAGTCCCGCGATCGCGGCCTTCTCGGAGCGCCCCGGGGCGCCCTGGAACGATGCCTCACTGTCCTGGCCCCCCGCCCAGCAGTCCCGCGATCGCGGCCTTCTCGGAGCGCCCCGGGGCGCTCTGGAACGATTAACCCCTGTCCTGGCACTGCGATCCTTCGACCCCATCTACTCGGACCTCATCTAGAGGCCTCCTAGATAGGGTCCGAGCAAGGGGGGTCGGAGGACGGCGCTGCATCGGCGATGCCTCGGCGATGTATCGGCGTTGCACCAGCGAAGCCTCGGCGACGTGGGCGAGGCATGATGGCGACGTCGGCGTGGAGGAATTCGGGCACCACATCGCCGACGCATTGCCGATGCGGAAAGACCCTCCGACCCCATCTGCTCGGACCCTATCGCGTAGGAGGCCCGGACCATCTTGGGAGGCCTGGAATCCCCTCTCCCCAGCCCAGCTGCTCACCCCTGGCTAAAGGCGGCCGCGACGGGCCTGGGGTCCCGGACCCCGGAGCGGTCCAGAGGGGCCGAGCTCATCCGGTGTCTTTTTGTTTTCTTGTTTTTCGTTGTGTGTGTTTTCCTCGGAGATCCGGGGAACCCGGAAATCCGCGAAAAGACGCCAGAGGGCATCGTTTCTGAAGACGCCATGCAGACCGAGGCCGACCACGTGGAGTGGGCTGTGTGTGTGCGTGTGAGGAAGAACAAAGACAAGCTGTGAGCATAAGCAGCCAATGGCGAGGACACTTGACATCCTCGCCTTGAGTGCGCCCACGATCCTGGGAAGGGGAGGGGAGGAGAATCACATTTTCCCCCCCGCGCCATTTTGGCAGAAGGAGGAGAGCAGAGGGGACGATGCGGACAGAACCAGAGGCCACGCATCCCAAGGAAGCAACCCTTCCAAAGCTGAGACATATCCAATGTCTTGCCATGCTCTTGGAGCCTAACTTCAAGCGAACAAGATACGTCAAAGCGGGATGAGAGGCAGGATGAGGAAGAGAAGGACGAGGAGGAGGACGAGGAGGAGGAGGAGCGGGAGGAGGAGGAGGAGGAGGAGGAGGAGGAGGAGGAGGAGGAGGAGGAGGAAGAGGAAGATGAGTAGGAGGAAGAGGAAGAGTAGGAGGAGTGGGAGGAGAAAGATGAGGAGCAGGAGAATGACGATGATGATTCTGATGATGATAGTGATGATGATGATGCTGCTGCTGATGATGATGATGCTGATGACGATGCTGGTGATGATGCTGCTGCTGATGAGGCTGATGACGATTATGTTCATTTTGATGCTGATGACGATTTCGATGATGATTTTGATGCTGATGACGATTATGCTGATGATGCTGCTGCTGATGATGATGTTAATGATGATGCTGATGATGCTGCTGCTGCTGATGAATCTGATCATGATGATTCTGATGATATTGATGAGGATGATGTTGAGGAGGAGGAAAAGAGGAAGAGGAGGAAGAGGAGGAGGAGGAGGAGGAGGAGGAGGAGGAGGAGGAGGAGGAGGGAAGGAGGAGGAGGAGGAGGAAGAGGAGGAGCGAGGAGGAGGAGGAGGAGGAGGAGGAGGAGGAGGAGGAGGAGGTGGGAGGAGGAGTGAGGAGGAGGAGGAGGAGAGTAGGAGGAGGAGGAGAGGAGGAGGAGGAGGGAGGAGGAGGAGGAGGAGTAGGAGGAGGAGGAGGAGGAGGAGGAAGGATGAGGAGGAGAGGAGCAGAAGCCAAGACCAGGCGGAGGGAGGAGGAGGAGGAGGAGGAGGAGGAGGGGCAGGAGGAGGAGGAGGAAGAGGAGGAGGAGGAGGAGGCGGAGGAGGAGGAGGAGGAGGTAGGAGGAGGAGGAGGAGAAGGAGGAGGAGGAGGAGGAGGAGGGGAGGAGGAGGAAGAGGAGGAGGAGGACGATGAGGAGGAGGAGGAGGAGGAGGAGGGAGGAGGAGGAGGAGGAGGAAGAGGGGGGGAGGAGGGAGGAGGAGGGGAGGAGGAGGAGGAGAGGGAGGAGGAGGAGGAGGAGGAGGATGAGGAGGAGGAGGAGGGGAGGAGGAGGAGGAGGAGGAGGAGGAGGAGGGAGGAGGAGAGGAGGAGGAGGAGGAGGAGGAGGAGGAGTGCCCCGCTCCGCCGACACCGCGATAGGCTTGGACGTGGGTGGCTGGCGCGAGCCCGCCCCCCTTGGGCCATGAGCGGTCGAGCGACGGCATGCGGACGCAGTGGGCCGGAGCTGGCCCTAACGGCTGCCGTGGTCGATCGTGGAGGGCATGTCGCTTGGCAGTGGAGGCTGGCGACGACGCGCGCCTCTGAAGTCGAACTCGAGGTATGAACGTTGAAGGCGGCAGTATGACTTCGGGAAAATCGGCCAAGAGAAGGGGATAAAGGGCAAGTCCGCTCAAAATCGGTCCCTGGGCCTCCCTGGGTCCATCGAGTGCGGTTTTTCACTCGAGATCCGTTTTTGACGGTCCCAGGGCCGAACGCGACCCCCAGGGGGCCGAAATAAGCAGAGACCCCTGTCGAGCCCAGCAGCTCGAACCTGCCCTCCCCTCCTGCTGGCCAGAACCAGTGCTGGGCCACCTCTGGCCCCCAGCTGGCTCCAAGAGTAAACATTTTTCTACAGCCGAAACTAAGAGCAAGAAACTGATCAGCCCTGCTCGGCTGCGGGTGAAGAGGGTCCTCCTCCTCCCCGCCTTCTCCTCCCTCCTCCCTCTCCTCCTCCTCCTCCTCCTCCTCCTCCTCCTCCTCCTCCTCCTCCCTCTCCTCCTCCTCCTCCTTTCCCATGCGTATGGCCAGCCGAAGCGCGGGCAGGGGCAACCAGGGCGAACGCCGACCGGGGCCGGCCAACAACGAGGAGCGTGCTGCGCCACAGCCTGTCCGGCGGGGCCGCGCCCCGTGTCCTGCCCCGCCCCTGCCCTGCCTGGTGCGGCAGTCCTGCCCCTGCTCGGACAGCAGCACAAACCGACGAGTGGCGTTGCGCGGAGAAGGGGGGGGGGGCAATTGACTCGCGCCTCCGTGCTGCGCAGGCGATCGGCGCGAGTCCCCTCCCGGCCCCCCGTCAGCCCTGCGAGCTCAGCCCGACCCTGCCCAAGGCCGGAGCTAGCAAGACAAGGTGATGCTGAGGAGAAGCGCATGGACCTACGGTCAGGAGCTTTTGCACAGCGCGTCGGCCCCAGCGACACGCTGTGCCCTGCGGTCGGATAGCGTGTCGCTCCGCTCAGCGAGGCGGGAGGCTGGGAAAGGCTCGGGACGTTGACGCTGGGGGGCCGGGAAATGGATAGCGTGTGGCGCCGAAGCGCGGTGGGCCAGAACTGGCGGAGCGACACGCTATCCCAACGTTCCAGACCGTATGATGAATATTGAGGAAGACAGCGAACAAAAACATGCAGACAAGCACGTGCCGAGCGTGAAACAGAAGACCACACGTGAAAAACCTCAATACTTGACGCTCCAAGAAAGCGATCATGGGGAGCCACCTCGAAGTAGACGCCGCCGCTCACCGCGCGGTCCACCGTGCCCACTAGCCTGTGGCGCTCTGGCCGCGATGGCCCCCCCCTGCTTCTCTCCTCGCAGTGCTGCACTCGTGCTCCTACCTTCGCATTTCCTCCAGGGGTATGCGGACGTCAACGGCGGGATGGCGGGGGATCTAAACGGGAGGGGCAAAGGGGGGTCCCCGGGCGGCTGCCGAGCCCGCACCTCGCGCGCGGCGCGTGGCAGCCCTCTCGAGCCTGCTCGTCCAAGCGCGCCCGACGAGACTACCGGCAGTCCTCTCCTCCTCCTCCATACGCGTTCTCACTAAATCATAAAGACTACGCAGCTATAGCTAACAGAAGAAGAAGAAGCCAGTAAGGACGAATACTCCGCATTCATCTCTGACTACTTCCTAAGCCCCTCCGCCCCTCAACTCTCTTCCCCTTATCTCCTTCCTATTAGCTCCGCTTTCCTTTCTCCTCCTGCCTCCTCCTCCTCCTCCTCCTCCTCCTCCTCCTCCTCTGCCTCCTTCTCTCGTGCTTCTCCGTGCGGCCCTCCACGCCGGCCGGGGGGCAGGCGTCCCCGGCGGCGGAACAGTTTATTTTCTACCGTTCTTCGCCCGTTGAATTGCCAGACATACCTGGTAAGTTCATCGCACACACTTTGCGGTCACTAGTTCCGTTCTTGTCATCTCCGATGAGCAGGTCCGCTGCGAGCAGATCGCCATGGCTGTGAACACTTCGCCAATTCTGGCGGCGCGGCCAACGGACCCGATTCTGGCCTCGCCCATCTCTTTTTGAAATGCCGTGGTGTCTTACGCAATCGCATCTCCAGGGGATTCTGCCATGCAGCGTATCTGGCCGTGGTGATGTATGCAGCTGCTCTTACACAACCTACATCTCTCCTGCACCGCTTTCTCCTATGCACTGCAACGCTCGCCTGCGCTCCCGCTCGGCGCTCACGGACACCACCTCGCCCGCTGCCGGCCTACTGGGCCGGCCGATCGCCGCGCTCGCG